TGTTTGGATGTGGTCTCCAAATCCAAGCTAAGTCAAGTGGTCTCCAAGTCCATACTTCAGAAAAATAAAGGCAGGGGGAACTACAACGGTTGGATGATCTTCAATTTTGGATATGTTATAGCCAACACAATTTCGAGCAAGTTTCGTGAAGCAATCACAACCATCCGAGAATCACATATTGAAACCAAATGCAGAAACCGAATCTGCAGAGACCCAGCGGCCATGGCTGAACACAAAAGATGCAAACCCGTTTTGAGGCATCTGGAAAATTCAGAAACATCTACAAATTTCACAGATTTTAGTCCTCAGGTAGACGAACAACTTTCATGAAGGAAGTTTTCTGATTCGAGCTTCCGAAATATGACTTCTGGATTTCTGAACAGTACCCTCGGTTTTGGGTCTTGAAGAAGAGTGAGGAAGCAGCAAGTCACGTGGGAAAGCTTGGAATGTTGGCTGCAAGTTGTGGGTTGCAAAGTGATGGGTTGCAACAGATGGGTTGCAACATGTGGGATGCAACATGTGGGATGCAAAGTGTGGGATGCAACATGTGGAATGCAAAGTGTGAGATGCAACATGTGGAATGCAAAGTGATGGGTTGCAACATGTGGGTTGCAACATGTTGGCTGCAAAATGCTGGATGCAAAGTGTGGGATGCAACATGTGGGATGCAAAATGTGGGTTGCAAAGTGATGGGTTGCAACATGTGGGATGCAAAATGTGGGTTGCAATGTGCTGGGTGCAAAATGGTGGCTTCAAAGAGTTGGCAAGATCCAAGTCGAAGTCTTGGTGTGGGATGCAAAGTTGTGGGTTGCAACATATGGAATGCAAAGTTGTGGGTTGCAACATGTGGGATGCAAAATGTGGGTTGCAATGTGCTGGGTGCAAAATGGTGGCTTCAAAGAGTTGGCAAGATCCAAGTCGAAGTCTTGGCATCTTATGCCAATGAGTTGGCTGGAAATTGGAAGTCTTGGCTAAAAGATGGTTTGGACACGAGAGGACCCACGTGGGTTTACTTTGGTATTCTCAAACTTGGTTCAAATTGGCATGGGTATTAAAAGGTTGGCTGCAAGGTGGCCAAATAGTGATTGCAAAATGGCCAAGTAGTGGCTGCAAAGAGGTTGGCCAAAGGCCAAAGATGTTTGCCAAAGGCCAAAGATGTTTTCCAAAGGCTAGGTTGGCCAAAGATGTTGGCCAAAGGCCAAAGATGTTTTCCAAAGGCCAAAGATGTTGGCCAAAGGCCAAAGATGTTTTCCAGCAGATGTTTCTAGCAGATGTTTCCAGCAGATGTTTCCAGCAGATGTTTTCCAGCAGATGTTTTCTAGCAGATGTTTTCCTACAAGTGGCGGAGTTCAAAGACAAGAAAGCATTAACATCGGGAGGATTTCCACGACATCGGGTAGCTCGTGCCTAGAGCTCAGGAAAACATTAACATTGGGAAGATTTCCGAGACATCGGGTAGTTCACGCCTCGAGCTCCGGAAGGCATTAACATCGGGAGGATTTCCAAGGCAGAGTTAGTTGAATGGCCAAACCCATGAGCTGAGGAGCTCTATAAATAGAACATCAGATGAAGAAAGAAAGACCTCCGACTCAACACACAAAATCTATCTTTTTATCCTGTACTTTTCAATTCATAGTCTAGGATTTTATCTTTCAAGTTCTTCAGATTATCCAAGTTCTTTGCTTTCCTAGTATAAGCTTACTTTCTTGCAATTTAATTTCAATTGTCTTTACATTCAAGTTTAATTCAAGTCTTTATCGATTTAATCTATTTTATCGCATTTACATTTTTGTCATTTCGTTTATCGCACTTACATTTCTGTCATTTCGTTTACTACATTTACATTCATTGCACTTATCACAAAAATCCTAAAAATAGTCATACAAAGCTCAATCACCCTTGACCTCAAGGAAGAAAAAGAACCTAGGCCAAGAGGAGGTTCCTTGCTTGGCCGATCAATCGTTTGATTAAAAGTCAGAAGCGCAAACACACTCACACGATCTTTCCATCCAAGCCATCAAGTGGCTTGGTGGTGGCACGCCTACGCATCTCAAGAGAAGAAGGACCAAAAACTCCTTCCGTCGGCCTACCCGCCCGAAAAGAGGGAAACACAACCCCCCCTGTATTAATAATTGGGTTACTTTTTCTTTTCAATTTTGGCTTGGTTTTCAATTCTAAATTATCTCTCTCTCTCTTCCTCTGTTTTTCATTTTCACAAGTAACATCGTGGCCTTCATGGTGTACCTAGCGCCACTCTAATCTCTCTCTCTCTCTCTCTCTCTCTCTCTCTCTCTCTCTCTCTCATGCACATATGGGATTTCCTGCATCGTCTGTAATTGTTGTCTAACTTTTTGCTTGAGCTCGGATTGTTTCAATTTCTTTAGAATTTACTTTCCAAGATGGGTTATATACTGGGGCACCAAAATGGAAGGACCCAGGAGGAAATGGAGGGACAGAGTTCTGAGGGTTGGGTTTGGTCGAATGTGCAGTGATTTTTTAGCGTTAGTTTTGACGGAAATTAACTTGAAGGACCATTTTGATGGATAGATGATAACCTGAAGGACTATTAGTGTCACAAAAAAACCTGGAGGACGATTCGTGATAATTTTGTAAACCTGAAGGACCATTTGTGATAAAAAGCCTATTTATAATTACGCAATGGACAGCAAAGTTAAATTAAAACTCTTGCTTGACACTCTCTTTGTCAAACGAAGTACATTAGCTCATATCAATGAAATGTATGTCCACTTCAATATGTTTTGTTTCGCGCAAATCATGTCTGAACCTTGATTGTGAGTCAATGTTGATGTCAACTCTGTTAACTAAGTAAAGCGTTACATTCATCGGATCCCAATTCTTTGAACAAAACCTTGAGAAATAATGCCTCGCATATACCATGACTCATGGCTTCAAATTCTGCTTATGCACTTGATTTAGCCATATTGAAGTGAACAGACATTTCATCAATCCAATCTTCCGGCCAAAAGCTCCCATGAAAATTTTGAGGCAAAAAGAAGGCTGAAGCTCCGCCACAGTTAAAGGATCAGTTCACATTGTCGAAGAGGATTCTGATATGATTGTGACAGGTTAAGATGTGGGGTTTTAGTTAGCAATTAGACAAATTAACCCATACTTAATTCATACCAATCTTAGTTTTGGACTACTCATACTTCAATAATCCTGAAATCAAAAGAGATGATTCTTGAACTAAGTACATAGAAAGACGCCTCCAGCCTCCATTCAAACTCTACCCAATGCAGAGCTTCATTTAACAAACACCCCTGCCCATTCAATTTAACATAGTTAAGGTCTTGAACAGTCCTCCACGAACCCGATTTTAGAGTAAAGAGCGCAATTGTGGTTGTAAGCAAACCACTTTCACTACTAGATGTGCCACCCACTATAACCTTGTAATCTTCTATGGTGGAATCATAACCGAATCCATAAAACATTGGACTAGAAGGAAAATAAGTAACTCCTGGTAACTTCAGGGTATCTCTAGTACACGGGTTCCATAAGAAAAAGTCGCCTTTGTTTTCGTGCAGACATATCAAGCCGTTGCAAGAACCCACAATTCTCATTCGGTCAAGCACTAACGGTACTGGTAAATGAAGCTCTCTGATTGCAACAAAACTATTGACATCCTCCAGTTCTTCGTAGTCTATGGAATACAGAGGACTGTTTGAAATAAGGAGCTTACAGCTATTAGCATTGACCCCTCTGACTGCGCGGCGGAGGTGCTTCCTAACAAGCTGAGAATCGGAGATCAAAGTATGCCATGACTTGCATACACACCGAAATCGGAGTAAAGATTTGACTGGAAGCCTTGACAGTATTTCAATGATGATGTCATCGGAGTCGATACGGGGTCGTTTAAACACCCCAGCAGAGGGGTCCAGTTTCTGCCGCCGGTTCTGAAGGCCCGCCATGTTAAAAGCTACAGAGGCGCCGCCAGGATCATCTACTATTAGGGTGGGCTTAACCTCCCAAACCAATTTTGTTTTCTCTATAGAAAACAAAAAAAATAAGTTTCTGCCAAAATTTAAACCCTAAACTAAGAAAGACCTTAAATTAAACCCTAATACTAATGGAGTAAGTGCAGTCAGTGTGCATATAACATGCTCATGATTCATGAAACAATTTTAATTTTGTATAAAATAAATTAAATTAAAGTAAAACAAAGAAATGAAAGTTGACTTAAATGTTGAAGACTTACCTTACCCGATTCTGTGCCGCCCTGGACTTGGAGATTGGAAGGACCACGAGAACTGGGAGAAATTCAGAAGAACGATTGAAAGGAGAGAAGAAGAAAAGGACGAAGGTGAGCTGAAGAGGGCTGATTGATTCAGCTGAAGAGCAAAAGAAGACTTCGACCCAAAAATAAAAGAGAAGGAAGAAGGTGAGCTGTAGGTAAACTAATAACCTGTTTAGGAATGATTGTTAGTTAAACTAATTCCCAATAGTACAAACCCCGTGTAGGTAAACTAATTCCCAATAGTATAAGCCCACGTTTATAGGAATGATTGTTGGTTAACCAGATAATTAGGGCATGTTTGGTATCCTATTCCTATCCAAGAAGGGAGCTCAAAAATTGTCATTTTTCTTAAAAACACCACATTACTAATTAGGGAACGTTTGTAAAACACAGCCAATGAACAGCTCTCTATATAAATATTTGTGCAGCAATATAACTGAACTTAACAAGCTTTGACTTCAAAGGCAAAAACGCGACAAAACAGGAAGATAAAGAACATGAAACTAGCGAGTCTCTTGCCCAGAACAATGCGGAAAACAAGGAGTTCTTAAATCAAATACCAAACAGTAATTCCTGGTAACTTCAGGGTATCTCTGGTACACGGGTTCCATAAGAAAAAGTCGCCATTGTTTCCTTTAAGACATATCAAGCCGTTGCAAGAACCCACAATGCCCCTGCCCATTTGTATGAAAAAAAGAATGGTAAATTACTCAAATGGTCCCCAAACTTGTACGCGAGTTACATTTTGGGGCCTCAATTAAATTATTCGTTCAAATGGTCTATCAACTCTATATTAATTACTCAAATGGTCCCACCGTCTAATTTTCTGTTAGATTTAACCAAATTTTAGGGTAAATAATGACCAATTTGCCCTCATATTTAACGGAATGTAACGGTGGAACCATTTGAGTAATTAACCCAAAAAAGAAAGAAAGTTATCTTACCTATTCCGCTCATCTGCATCCCTCTTTTCTATTCTCTCCGCTTTCACTTTAATTTCCTTAAGAAAAACGAAAAAACTTAAACGGACCATTAGCTTAGATTTGTTATATTGATTCTTTTACAGAACATGTTTTGTCTTTGGTAAATCTTGTATAAGAAACTTCATTAGCATAATAAAAGCTGCTAGACTGGAAGTAGCCTCTCTTCCCCATGATCAATCCTTTAAAAAATTTGTCCAACGTGATGATCTGGCAAGAAATTATAATCCTCAATATGTTTAAAGTGATGATCTAGCATGAACATATAATTCACAATATAGAGAAGGAAAAAAAACAGTATCAATATACATAATACATGTATAGTTACAACAATCCATGCAATACAATAGGAGGAAAATTGTAGACCAAACACATTACAATGCTTCTCTATTCATCTGCCTTTGTTCATCACCCTTTCAACAACTTAGCGTAGTGACATCAGATGTGGAAGGATAACTTAAAATCTCTAACATGGAAGTTCCAAAACCCCCCGTTTAAACTCGGCAAGTCTTCGCAAGGAAATCGCATCCTTCGTAGACTTCCAACCCTGACTGGTCCAGTTGATCTTCTTTAAAGCATGCACATCGCTTGCTCATCTTCCCAGTTAAAGCAATTTCTAGTGGTCTCTGAACTAACCTTGGGACGCCCTCATCACACCAAACCTATAACCAAAACAGTGGAAATCTAACATCAAGCTCATTCAACAAAACAGATGCTTGCCAAACCACAACTAGGGACTTTGAAGTCGGTATTTGATCCATTTTTATTTTAGGTGCAATATTTTTGTAATACCATTCCTCATGGTTTGTGTCTGACAAGATGGACATTATAAGCCTCCATAACAGCACAACATTGAAAACATAAGGAAAAAAACATTATAAGAACCGAGAGAGAAGCACAATGACTGCTTGGTTCTCATAATTTGATTCCACGTCAGGAAGACATACCTCTCCACCCTCGTCCTGACTCCACCTCGAATTGCAACTAGGTTGCTTCGCTTCTTCATTCTTCTGTTTCTCCAAAAGCTGAGCACCTCTAGCAGCCTTTGCTTCCACTCCCTTCAAATATTTTGTAGGATTTCCTTCAGAATCATAGTAACGACCTACTAGCTTACCTACAAATCTGACAATTAAAAGTCATGAATAGTAATTACCAAGTATTTTATTCATTCAAAAAGAAGATCAGTTAATAATATCTTTATCCTTTCAAACTAATACCATGAAAATGAACGAGGAACAACAAATCAAGCTCAAATATATCTGACATGACAACTTCACTGAAACAAAATGGTGCATGAAAGGACAAGCATATCGTGTTTGGCACAGAACAAGGCTGGCGTCTGTTTTCTTAACAGCTATAAACTTGCAACATATATGAATTCCAAAAAAATGCAATAGGACATTCTGAAAGGCATAAACAAAACTGTCTATTACCAAAAAAAGAAATTAATTTCGTTCTTTGGGGGCGATCTTTGCCTCTTATTACCAGAACAATCATAAGCATATGCAAGCAGATATGACAATGATTCCTATATGCAGTATGTGAGACAGATTACATCAAAATTTGCTTACAGACCTCAATGAAAGTTTGAGAGATTCATGGTAATTTTCCTATTTTATTCAATTAAAATTTTCGTCGTAGATGTAAAATTCTAAAACCCCAAACAAGTTTCTAACAGTTTCAAAAGTGGAAAACAGATCGGCTAATTGGCCCAAGTTTCCAGTAACCATGAAAAAACTTCCAACATTATTAAAAGCATTGAAATTCCACCTTCCAAGCATCAAAAGTACAAACGATAGCCAATAGATGCATAACTCACGTGTAACTTCTAAAGTAGAAATCCCTCCATTCAACAACACTCTTCACCTGCAAATACAAAGAAAAAAAACACTGAATCACTCTTGTAGCAACCAATGAAACTTCAGATGTCACAGTCCCAAATATGCAGCTGAACCAAGTAGTAGGGATTAGTTTGAATATTTACCTATTTTTCCATTAGTACTGTTATTCTGTTTTAAAAAGTGTGAAAAAAGGAGCAAAGAATGCAAAAAATTGATAAGTGAAGAAGTCACACAACAAGATGCCACGTTGAAGCAAGTGGATATGTCACAAAATGGCAAAGGCATAGGGACACTATAGCAAAGCATGATGCAAGGTAAGGGTTTCACATTAGAAGCAATGATTCTGAACAAGTCAGTTGGGCTGGAATATGGAATCAGGCAATCATCAAATGGGGGTGAACTAATCCTGACTAACTTCATAAATTTTTGAATTAGAAGGCATAGGGTGAGCAGGAGGCAGCATGAGATCACCACAAGTGAGCTACCTGAAACACTCTGCAAATCATGGACTAAGAGGGTAGAACCAGCAGGGGAAGCATTCAATATGGGTGATGTTTAGTAGCTGCAGTTCTAAAAAAATTTAGTGTCTTTCCCCCTTTTTGTTGTCCAGCATGGCTTCACAAACTCCAGGGTAAAAAGGAGAGCAAATGACATGAGTTACCTGTGTACTGGATAAATCACGTAGCGAGTCTGTGAGCCCATCACCTGCAATATAACCAACGAAAGATGCTATATGATTATTATAACATAAATACTTCTTTCAAGCATTATTTTAAATCCCCAAAAGCAACTTCAAAGTACTAAAAGTACATTAATCAGAAAAATAAAAAATGAGCCTACAAAAAAATCAATTCAAAGGCAACTCTGTAAGTTATTAAACTTTGAACTTGCATAATAAATCCATCAACAATTAAAAGCGAAAAAAAGAAGAAGACCGTCTTTACCTGTAAAGTTTCCTGAAACAAATGCTCGTGAAGCATCTCTTTATTGATTGCAAGGATTGTATGTGAAGGCAAAAGAGCTATTAGTATACCAGTCTCTAGACAGATACAATGATACAAAGCATAAAAGGATTTTATGACTAAATATATTCAAATCCTATCATACACCAACTAATGCTATATGTAATGAAAATTAAAAAGTAGACTAGCACAATTTGTAATCCGAGCATGTGTTTCCGGGAAAAATCGAGAAAACATCAATACCTAGTACCACATTTAAGTAAGAAAATTCAACAGGGTTGGAGAAGAGAACAAACCTTCCTGAAAAATGATTGTAACCCCCACCCTCACCATAATGAGATTTTCCTTTTGTCACGTCAAAAACCGATCTGATCAGAAAATATGGATTAGTTTCTTTAAATCAGTAAATGTATGCTCACAGGCATTTAGGAATCATATAAAGTGCTCTGCTTGATTTCCAAAATTCAACTCATCATGAGATTACAACTTCTCATTTCTAATGTATATTCTGAAAAGTCAACCACACACATTGTGGTGCTTGAACTGTATGTGAGAAGGGTTTTAATACATCCATCTAAATAGAGAGAAAAGGAGAAGGTACCCGAGAATTCCTAATAAAATGGGTAAGCTTTGATCAGTCCCGTTGTACAAGGCTAATTCTTCAACAGTGAACAATCTCTAGAAACAAGAACAAAATCAACTCACATACTTGCACTGTAATGTTAAACATTCAAAGCGAACCAAAGCAAACAAATTATAAAAAAAAAAAACCCATCTTGGAATTATATTCACAGACAAATTCTAAGAAGAAAACACATGTAAAATCGAATCTTGGATTTGCCTTAGCTCCCAAAATCATGAAAAATTTCAGTTGGGGTGTCTGGTATTCTGTCAAGAAAATATAAAAACAAAAGAAACGAGCTTTGAGCCTCTGACCTGTTGTGAGAAAGGCTTATAATAAAACGCGACCAGAGCGATGAGCGAGACAAAAACTGCAATTCCTACAAAAGGAGACGCTGCTATGAGCTTTGCCGCCATCCTCAGTCACTCAGCACTTCACAACAGCTTTAGTTTTCCTCTTCCGGACAACATTTTACTTTCGCCGTGTTTATATTATTTAGTTTTTTTCTTTTTAATTACCAAAAGCAATTGACATGAAAAAGAATGAAGAAGAAAGTATAGCTCATGTAGTAAATTAAAGATGCGTTTACTAATTAAGAATTGTAATTCTCAGGAATTGAATTCCACATGAAGGATTCTTCATTTACTTCACAACAAGGAATTGAAAAGTAAGTGGGGCCCATACAATTTTTGGGTGAGATGTGGTATTCTAATTCTTGGAGAATTAACTCATCAGGAATTTATCTTTTTTACTCATTATATTTTACACAATTTTCAAAATTCCAAATATGCCATCTACTTTAATTCAACAATGAGGACATTTTAGTAATTAATACCACTCATACCTCCAATTTCATATGGTTAAGTAAACAACTTTAATATGAATCCGAAATCTAACTCTCCTCAATGCATATGATTTAGTAAACAACTTCATTAGGAATCTAGAATCTAATTCTCCTCAATCAAACTCCTCCTCAATTCAATTCCTTCTAATAGCAATTGATTAACAAATTTGAGGATCAATTGACAACCACCAGAAAAATGAAAATGGAAAAAGAAATTATTAAGGGCAAGCAAACAATTAGAAAATCATCCGGAGATAAATGGAGAATTGGACACTTGCAAATTTTTAAAAAGGAGAGAGAAAATTAAAAGGTGGGCTCAGGAGAACACCAAGAGGACGCGCGCACACCATAACGCGGCTCGTAAATATAAAAGTGCCAGAGTCTGACAGCTACAATTCCGACTTCGGTGTTTGGTCTTCGAAACGCAAAAATCTCTCTTTGTTGGCCGATTCATTCAAAATCCACTGGTACGGGTACCTCTGCATCTTCTTATATTCATATTTTTTCTCATTTAATTCAAAATTAAACTCGTCCCGTAATTTCCAATCACAATTGGACTTAATTCACTCTTTGTAAAACTAAAATAAAAAGCAGCTTGATTTTGAATTTGATCTGTATGAATGAATCCGAGTAGTTTGTTGATGCTTCAAAATTTTAAAATTTTGAAATTGGTACAGGCTGGGTAAATTTCTCTGGTGTTCTCTTTGAGAATTGGGGTAAAAATGGGCGTGAAACAAGCCTTGAAGAGCTTGGATGCATTTCCTCGTGCCGAAGAGCACTTGTTGCAGAAAACACAAACTGGGGCAGTTGGTAATATCTTTGTTTGATTGATTGATTTATTTATTTTTGTGTGTTTGGTTCTCTGTTAATTATGGTTTGAATTCAATATTTATTTACTTTTGCTTGTGTAGTTTCTGTTGTTGGTCTACTTATAATGGCGACATTGTTTGTGCACGAGCTGAGATATTATCTTACCACATATACCGTCCATCAGGTTAGAGTTTCAAAAGCTTTTCTTTTTGTTTTCTGTTGATGTTGTAAATCGGATACGCAGGTAATTATTATCTGCTCAGGGTGTAAGAAAGAAATTTGTGAATGTGAAAGAAATAGCTCACATGTATATTATTATCTGCCATTTTGATGTATAACGTACCAGAACCGTAGTCAGACTGAGAGATATAAGTTTGGAGATGTTGTATAGATCCTTTGAGATTATAAGTTATCTAATTGAAAAGCTTATGCATTCGGCAGATGTCCGTAGACTTGAAGCGTGGAGAGACTCTTCCAATTCACATAAATATCACATTTCCATCTTTACCTTGTGATGGTTAGCATGTTTCCTTTTCTTTGTATTTAAGTAAATGCTGTTTTCTTTGTAGATTTTCTTCTTATCTCATGTTTGTAGTTTCTGTGATGATGATGCTGGGTTTTCAACTTTTGATTGCAGTTTTGAGTGTGGATGCGATTGATATGTCAGGAAAGCATGAAGTGGATCTTGACACAAACATATGGAAAGTAAGAGACTTTATTGATTTCTTTTTTTCCTTTTACTGAAATAGATGTATAGGATAATAACATATCAAACAATAAGAACTAGATATGTGTATTGTGGTAGCAATGTGTTTTACCTGTTAAAATCTGTGAATAATGTACTACATTAAAGGGTTTGGTGTCGAAGACTAGTCTTCATGTTTATGTCATGTTGCATGATGCATATTTTGTGCTAGGTCCCAATTTATCTGTTGAGTCAAGTATAAGACTTTGATTCAAGTGAACATAATTTGTTTTTATCTGTACCACTTCATATGGGGTTCTTTGAATCTCCCTCTACTTAGGTATTTTTCAAGCCTTTTCTGGTGGCTCTTTGCTGGGCCGTCATGGTTTTAGGCTTTTTGAGAAGTTGGTAGCAATGACTAATTTTGTTTTTCTTTTGATCCTTGTTTTGATCCACTGGCAGTTATCCGGTTAGATGTGCTTAAGTAGCACATCTAATTAAATTTTGTTGTAATCTCCCAGTTGTTAGACTACCTGCTTTCCCATGAATGTATTCAGTGAAATTTAGTTGTTAAAAATGGAAACTTGTGATCTGTCTCCTTTCTCTCTCTCTCTCATAGTTATTCTCCTAACCAGTTTAGAGTGGCTGCAGCTTCGCCTGAACAGTTATGGCCACATCATCGGCACTGAATATTTGTCTGACCTTGTGGAAAAGGAACATTCTCACAAGCATGGTAATATCCTTATTGCATTATTACCACATTTTGTTTTAGATGTATTGCCATGCTTTTCAGATTCTATTTTTTTGCAAGAAGTTTTTTCTACAATCTCACTTTGTCTTCTGCCCCTGATCAATTTTACTCTCATTGTTGCTTGGATCAATGGAAGTTTTTGGCTCCCACGATGGACTTAACATTTTTCCCTTACAGTCTTTGTGTATTTTTTCCTTAATAGATATTTCCTTTAATGAACATGAATCATGTAGTCAATGTTCCCTTTGGAGACACCTAAGTGATAAAGTAAACCCACTCTCCAAGGGCCCATTAAGGTTCTAAGCCCCTTTGCAAAGCATATAATGTAACCCATGGCCTATTGCTTGCATGGCAGGACAAGAGAAACTATATGTTGAATGGAGTGGATGATGGATTTAATTATCTGATGGTGGATTTTCTTGGCATTCTTTGTGTTCTCTATTTTATTTTTGGGTATTTTATGTTTGCCTCTTATCTTTCTAGCCTCATTCCTTTATGTCTTACCTTCTTCACAAACTAAAGTGATTTCTGTTTGATTGAGTGTTGCCATAGCATTAGTTTTAGAACTATGATTTGTTTCTAGGGTGTATTCATTAAATTGTCCAACATCTGATAAAGAACCTTGACCAGATGACGGTAAAGATCATCATGAGGACAAGGACCAGGAAATTCATTTACAAGGAGCTTTTGATCAAGCTGCAGAAGATCTCATCAAGAGGGTAAAGCATGCAATAGCAAATGGAGAAGGATGCCAGGTATTTAATTACAGATATGTCTATTTGTTATGTTAATGAACCCTATTTGCTCTTTCAGATTTATGTTGAATTGATTTATATATATATATTTTATGTAAAATTTACTGCAGGTTTTTGGTGTTTTAGATGTCCAAAGGGTTGCTGGAAACTTTCACATTTCAGTTCATGGATTAAACATTTTCGTTGCACAAATGGTTAGTTTTCCTTGAATGTTTGCTCCCTTCTTTTTCCAATGTCTGTCCATTTTGTGGCAAACGAATTTCATGTGATCTAGAACATGCAAAGTACAGTGCCTGATCTAAAGTACTTATGGAGGACCTAAATTATGAGTCTGAATTAAAATTTTAATATTTGGTTTTTGGCGTTTGGAATTGATAAATCATTGGATTGGTGCATTTTGATATGATAAATTCTTGTTTTGATCCTTTTAGATAAAAATTGGTTTTTGGCGTTTGGAATTGATAAATCATTAGATTGGTGCATTTTGATTTGATAAATTCTTGTTTTGATACTCTTAGATAAAATTAAAAAAAATTGAATCTTAAAATTTTGGTCAATCTTTTGTGTTGGGAATGATATGGAGTTTGAAGTTGTGTGAGTAAATCAATCCCTCTCACTTCTCATATCAAGGGATGCTTTTTGGATCAGTCTTGTGTCAACTGCCATTTTTCTGCATAACTTGGTTTAAAAGCTTGTTGGCTCTAGTTAACTATAGCTCCTATCTTATTGTTCCATGTCTTACTGTTTCTCTGCAGATTTTTGAAGGATCTAAAAATGTAAATGTAAGCCACATCATTCATGACTTGTCATTTGGCCCAAAATATCCTGGGATTCACAACCCACTTGATGGGACGGAGCGCATTTTGCATGACGCAAGTGGCACTTTCAAATATTATATAAAGGTTTGAATACGTGGGCCTTCTTTGGATTTAATATACAGCTTTGTGGTAGAATTAAATCTCATGAATCTGCAATATAAAATGCCCCATTTTATGCATATATCTGTGCAGGATTGCCTACTAGAGTCTAAGCCTTTAATTCAAGTTTTGTTCATTCTGTTAATTGTGGAAGATCAAGTAGTTGTCCCATATTTTCACTCATATAGGAGAGAATTAAAGAAAAAAGGTCCCCTGGTAGTAAGAGACTTCCATCCAACAAGTAGCACTCCTAGCCAAGGAACTTTTACATCCAATAAAGGACTTGTATTATTTCTTTTGTTAAGTGGTTTGCTAAAGCTCAAACTTTTTAACTACATCCAGGGACCTTGAGTAATGGTATTTGCTAACTTGTTCTCAAATTAATAGTTCTGAATCTTTTTCAGAAATGTATACCTGGATTAAATTAAATAAATATACCTAAAATTAATGAAGCAAATTACACAGTTCCCTGTGTGCTGTCAATTCTTCTGCCTCAACATCTTGGAAGCGTGCAGACTTACTTTGTGGAACATGCGTTTACCCAAGAATATAAAAGTGAATCAACCACATGTTGTGGAGTCGTTACCAACAAAATATTAGTTTTTGTGATACTGCTAATTCCTTGTCAAAGTATAATGGATTTTTGCTTCATTGGTCAGTGGGCATTTTCAGGAATATTAAGTAAGTGTCTGTCTTCACACTTGAAAAACAAATTAATACATTTGATTCCTCAGAAAAGATA